GGGACAACAGATTGAAAGCCGTAAAACCAGTGAAAGTAACGGGGAGCATACTGCTTCAAACCCAAGGATTCAACTACATTGGTTCCATCCTGTAAGATAATGCGGAAATCGACAGCAAGGTAAAACCTCGCAAGAAGAAAGCTTGAATCAAATGAAGAGAAGTGAGCGGAGTACGGTGCGACAAGAAGATGCCCATCAGATTGAAAGGAAGGTATACAGAACGATAGTAAAACCGGTGCTTCTGTACGGAACGGAATGCTTGGTTATCCTGAAGAGACAAGAGCAAGAGCTTAACTCAATAGAAATACCAATGCTGTCAGCAGAAAGGGCCACGTCCAAAACAGCTCCAAAAGAAGCACTCTATGGGTAGCACCAATTTCAGAAAAGCTTGTGAAAGCAGGCTCCGTTGGTTTGGTCACGTTAAAAGAAGACCAACCGAGTGCATTGGAAATGTGGCCCAAGCACTGATACTGCCGACGAAGAAACGAAGGGGAAGACCGAAGTAAAAGTGGCGCTATGTCGTTAAGAACGATATGAAACTGCGACGAGTTTCTGAAGATCTAACTAACGACAGAAAAAAGTGGAGGAAATTGACTCGATTAGTGGACCTCTACTAAAAGGAACATGCCAGGAAAAAGAAGAGAAGAAAATTTGACGAGGGTCGAACAAAATTCAAACAAGGGTGCAAGCACAATTAGAAGTATGTCGCCTCATTTCCTTTGAAGCAACAAAATGGATCAGTTTTGACACTCTGGATGTGCTATCAAGTTTCATAACCGCTGCATATGCAATCTGTCTCAGAGGATACAGGAAAAGGCGGTACCGTGAGCAGTTCAGCAGTATCATTTGTACTCGAATGTCTGCGAATGATGTAGATGTTATTGCTGCTAAGGTTAGGAAAGTCTTGAAGGATATAAACGATTTTATAGCTCCAAGCTATCAGCATGATTATTTCTGAAAAGTAACGCGCTGTTGACTTTGACTTTTTTAGACACAGCATGACTAAGAATAATCAGACACTATAGTTCGCATGAGAGAATATTTTTCTGTTCCGTGCATAAGCGATGATCAAATGACTTGTAAAAACTTAGGTTTCACTTCCACAAAAAACTCTAAGGCTATCAATTCACACAAACACAGAAACATTTGAGGAAAATGATAGAAAGCTTGTCAGTAACAAATACCTACACAAAGGTGAAACCTGTTCTATAAAACAAACATTAAGAAACCTGCAATGGAAAGCTTGGTTTCGGAAAGGATATTAGGCAAGCATTTTGCTTAGATATTTACTTAAAGGATGGAAGGTTCCTCAGTATCTAAACCATGCGGATCAACAAAACCATATAAGTAATGCAATTCAACATGCACTGCCCATAGACAACAGATTCACCAGCGATATCAGAAAACAGTTAGACAAATACGAAGCAACGGAATCTGAATTTCAACTCAGATTAAAGAAGTAGGGTGACCTCATTGGTTTAAGGCATTAGATAAATTAATGAAATCGATAAAAACATGGCCCCTCTACACCAAGTAGTGCCGCGTAACAACTTCGCAATCGATTCGCCATCGAAACTCGTTCGTTCCAGCTCATCGGGAGAACGTAAATCTACTATGGTAGTCAGACTGTTTTTATAACGTATGTTTAAGAAATCCTGACGCACCACAGATACAGAAAGGTTATATCGAAAGTAAACGCATTTCGTTACCAACACAGCTAACATAATCTGGAATGAATCAGTGAAAATTGCGTCAAAGTTTCGGCACGGTAACAAAGCATCAATAGCATAATTCACAGTACAGCTGTGTATTACTTCTAACCGATAGCAACTGTTATCATGTCTACGTGCCTTTGCTAAGTATAAATCGAATTTTATTTTAAGCAAAAGACAAAATGAATAAATCAATTAAAAGGTGATACATGCCTTTTGCAACAGTATTTTCTTGACGTCGAACTTGGCGTTTCCTTCAGTTTTCCTGACTAGTTCGATCTTCCACTCACTGATTGTCACGCACTCTAGTGAGCAACCCAAAATGCCCAAATATTCCGCATAGCATTTTTCCGGATGCTCTGAACACCAGATAAGCGAAAATCAACAGGAGCAAACCACTAACCCAGTCTAATGCATCTTTTGAACGAAGTGATATCGATGTCTGCCGCGAAACAAGTCCTGAAAGTAGACCGCTGTATTCAGAAGTTAGACTGTTTCAAAGCAAAAAGAAGAATATTCTAATATTAAAGCCG